TCTTTGAAACATGTTATTGATACCACCTAGTGCATAAAGAATAGATCTTTCGATCCATGTGCGACATGTGTGTGAAAGTGACGATTTGTTTCTAAAATATCAGTTTGAAGTGCGCTCCGGGCGCGGGTCGCATATTTCCCGCATATTATAGAGGGCCGGAGTTCTGACGTTAATCGACGACAGACCAATATGAAAAAAGTTGATAAAACGTCAGAATAATTCGGACTACCCAGGGGCCTGAGGGGCGGGGCCAAAAAGGGTCAAATTGGGTCATTATGATTAATTTGTCTGCAATCCTGTGAGAGTTATAGGACAATAAATTTCCAAAGAAAGCAGTTTAATACTTATATCTCCTTCGCATCATACTTACCTGCTAGGTTGAATAACTACATATGGCTAACTCCACTTTCGCAATAATTACCCGCCAAGAATAAAAAATTAATGCTCCCCTGGCCATGCCTATGACTGGTCCCTCGCGCATGCGTAACCATCTTTTTTTTGGCGGCCATTTTCAATAGCTGCCTTCCACATTGCATTCGCATATTTCGGCATTTATACAAGTAAGTGTGTTATTTTGTCGGGTTTATTGTAGCGGAAGCCTGTTAAAAGGTTCTGCTGATTGTTTTAAGTCGTTTTGTATGGGTATCGATCTTTATTTACGTACATATTATTATTTTGCCGTTCGTGGGGTTACCGTGACTCGTGTCCACGTGGGACCGGCATGTCTTCGAGATCCAAGAAGTCAGACCCTGTGAAAGGGTCAGATACGACTACTTGCGACTCTAACGACCCTGGTAAAGGGTCAAAGACCTCACGTAGTTTTGAGGACCGGGAGAAGGCGTCTCCCCACACAGAATCGACCAAGGGTCACTCGGCATCTAAGGGGTCAGATTCGCCATCTAAATCGGCAAGGACCACATGGTCTACGACTGCGAGTACTACAAGTACGAAAGGCAAGGGGGTGACTAAGTCTGTTGTACTTAACCTCATTCAAGGGGAGTTAAAGAGCTTCAAGGATGATATCAGGAGCATGCTTAGAGAAGCTATGTCTGCCCCGGCTCCGGCTACCGCCACGAGTACCAGTCAAACCGGCCTCAGTGCCGGTCCGGTCCCAAACAAGGATACACTCGATTTGGAGGATTTTGATGATTCCGTTTCCTATGGGGGTTCCCCTTCTAAGAAACGTTTGTGGATTGAGGAACAGAGGTCATCTGTTGGTATAGGTTCTCAGTACACTAGACCACTCACTCAGACCTCTCATACCATTACTGGTGTGTCAGCCGAGACAGACTCGGTGAGCGGTAGCTCAGATAATGGAAATGAGTTTCCCCAGGATAGAGATACCCCCCCTTCCTGGAATAAGATGATTGCAGACATTCAGAACATACTGCACATTGAGACAAAAGAGGAACAAACAGATGTACAAACTTCCATGCTGGCAGATACATTTGCGGGGTTACCGAATACTCCCAAGGACTCAGGTCCTTCCTTACCGGCTGAGGGCCTTCTGATTAATTCGTGGAGAGAGATTGAGAAATCTTTTCCCAAGTTTGCCTCGTTTAAATCGAGACATAGGTCCCAATATAGGTGGCCTGAATCAGACTTTGACATGTTTGGAAAGGTTCCAGAGGTACCGCGGCAGTGTCTACATACATTCAGTCTGTTACCCAGAAGGGTAAGATGTCTGGCAAGAGTGATCTACACCCAAAGGATGCTCACAAAGATGATACCTTTGTGTCCAAAGACCAGTCACTAAGAAATCAGCAGAGAGCTATTTCCCATGCATCCTACATATTAACAGCGCTTTCTAAAGGGCTGAAAGGTGAGACTGGTACGTCTGACGAAACCATATCCCAACTCCTGGGTAGTCTAGCTGCTACGCTATCAGACGTCGGTGATTTGTCAGTCAGGGCTTCCTCTAGGTGTGTCCTAGCTAGAAGGAATTTATACCTAGACGCTATACAGATATTTGACAGAAACACCCGCAGTGAACTGTCGAAGGTCCCTCCAGCTGGAGGATTACTATTTAATGACAAGGTGCAGCAAATCACACACCAGTCATCAGAGTTAATCAGAGACGTCCGAGAGACGGCACGAACATTAAGTAATGCCCAACGGTCAGGTCCAGGCAAGAGACCGGCTATGGCTACGGCTACTAGCAAGCCAGAGGACTCCAGGTCAGGTTCTGATAAGAAATTCAGACGCCTAGACAGCGGTAGAGGTCGTGGGTTTGTTTCCCCACTAGCTAATCAGTACAGTCAGAAATCTTCAACATACAATAAGGACAAACGAGGAGCCTCTAGTTTTCCCCTCAATAAGGCCTCAAACTCCTATAGAGGGAGAGGACGGGGTCAGCAACAGAACCCCTAGGAATCACACCCTCAGTCCTCCCATGATAGTCCCATTACAGGAGATACCAGTAGGAGGGAGACTTCTCCATTTTGTGAGAGCTTGGGAGGAGATAACCAGACAGATTCGTGTTGGGAGTAGTATCAAAGGGATACAAAATAGAGTTCAGTCAAACACCGCCCTTGTCAGAGGCTATGAAGTTCACCAGTGTTCCATCAAACAAACAGAAAGCTCAGGTACTCGTAACAGAGATCGAGGCCCTTCTTGTAAAAGGGGCAATAGTAGTGGGAGGTTTAGACCCATCCTAAATTTAAAACCGCTAAATCAGTTTGTGAGATACCAACATTTCAAGATGGAAAATCTAAGATCTATTATCCTAGCCTTAAACAAGGGCGATTGGGCAGCGTCGATAGACTTAACAGACGCATACTTACATATCCCTATTCATGTAGAAAGTCAAAGATATCTAAGATTTGCATTCCAGGGAAGAGCTTACCAGTTCGTAGCTCTCCCATTCGGAATCTCTTCAGGACCAAGAGTATTTGTCAAGATAATCTCAGTAGTACTAGGTCATCTGAGGAGTCAGAGGTTCCATCCTCATGCATACCTGGACGATTGGCTTCTTCGAGAACAATTCTGAGAAAAGTAATTCTTGGCAGTTCAGAGAACGATACCACTACTTACCAGGTTAGGTTTTCTTCCGAACTGGCTGAAGTCTCAGCTTTACCCTACTCAGGATTTCCAATACATCGGAGCCTGTTTCCGTCTAGACCTAGGGCTGGTCTTTCCTCCAAAGGAGAGAATCTTAACACTAAGAAAACTGTTCTCCATAGTAGAGCAGAGGGAGAGTATTCAAGTACGGTATGTGCTTCAGATCCTGGGTCTGATGAACTCATGCATAGAGGTCATACCATGGGCAAGACTACACCTGAGACCCATTCAGCTGTTTCTCCTTTATCATTGGAGACCCAAGACGAAAGACATGCTCTCATCCCAGTCAACAAGTTGTTAACAGATTGCTTCCTTTGGTGGAGAGGGGAGACAACAGTGTTCAGAGGCAGAACACTGACGGACAGATCAGTAGATTTAGTCCTAACTACCGATGCGTCGGGAGAGGGCTGGGGGACCCACATAGAGAATTTGAGGATCTCAGGAAGATATCGAGAGATATCAACTGGAAGAAACTGAAAGCAGTTCAATTAGCAATTATGCAGATTCGTCAACTAGTACAAGGAAGGAAAGTTCTGGTACAGTCGGACAACTCAACAGTAGTAACATACATAAACAAGCAGGGGGGAACTCATTCTCCAGGACTGTATGTTAACCTGGAGACTTCTCCAATTCTGTATAACAGAAAAGATAGAACTTCAGTCAATACACATACCAGGCAGGTTAAACCTGACTGCAGATGCTCTATCCAGGAGGTCTCAGATCATTCCAACAGAATGGACTCTTCAGAAACAGATACTGAACCAGGTATTTTATTTTTGGAGAGAACCTCAGATAGATCTGTTCGCCTCAAAACTAAATCATCAGTTGCCTGTATACATGTCTCCAGTCCCAGACAGCCAGGCTTTGGCTGTAGATGCTCTAGCTCAGAATTGGACAGGAATGTTTGCTTATGCATATCGTCCAATATCCCTAGTAGCACGGGTGATCAGGAAGGTCTGTCAGGAACACATGACCTTGATCTTAATAGCACCATTCTGGGAGAGACAAGCATGGTGTCCAGACCTAATAGATCTGCTGATAGAGCACCCAATCAGAATACCCCTGAGGGAGGACATAATCAAGCAGCCTCACAACGGCTGGTTTCATCCATCCCCGGACATACTGAAGTTGACTGCATGGAAGCTGTCAGGAGACAGTATAGTGAGGAAGGATTTTCAAGAGCTGTTGCAAACAGAGCAGTTGAGGCTAGACGACCTAGCACATATCAGACATACAATGCTAAACTGAACCTATTTTCAAAATGGGCAGCAGAGAGGATGTTTGATCCTTTTTCAGCAACTGTAGCTCAGATTGCTGATTTCATGGAGTACCTGTTTTCAGTTAAGAATCTCCAGGTTTGTACTATACAAGGTTATAGATCAGCTATTTCATTAATCCATCCCGGCTGGAATGGAGTTAAAGTGGGTAACATGTAACCACCCAAGATTAGAAAAGCTGTTGAAGGCCTACTTTAATAGTAGACCTTCTAAGAGAAAGTTGTCTCCTACTTGGAGTCTCACACTTGTGTTAAATATGTTGATGAAGGCTCTGTTTGAGCCTCTCATCCATGTTCCGTTAAAGTTTTTAACATTGAAAACTGTGTTTTTAGTTGCAATTTCTTCAGGTAGAAGAAGAAGCGGGTTACAGGCCCTGTGTTGTAAGGAGGGCCATATCAGATGGGATCAGACAGGTGTAGCCTTGATTCCACATCCTGGTTTTTTGGCAAAGAATGATTCTTTGTCATATGTTTCAACGCATATTTTTCTTCCAAAGATGGCTAGTTTGTCATCAGTTGAGGAGGGCAAGTTAGTTTGCCCATGTAGGGCTTTGAGTCAATACCTTTCAAGAACCAAGAAGTTCAGAAAGAGGGTAGAACAGTTGTTTGTTACTTATAAGGATAACTTGTGTCATGCTGCTTCAAGAGACACAATCTCAAGATGGATTGTTCAGACTATCGAGAGATGTTATAAATAGTCCACAGACACAGATTTTTCTAAGGCAAAGGCTCATGATACAAGGAGTCTATCAACCTCCATGGCCTTATTTAAAGGCATTTCAATGGAGGAGATCATGGAGGCTGCATCCTGGAAGTCAGAGTCAACATTTACCAATCATTATCTAAAAAACATTAGTCAAGAGACCGAGCTGTATTGACATCAGAAAGAAGACAATGATGGGACTTTGGGATCTTGGGGTGAGTATAATTATATTGATTTTTGAAACTCCCACCTCCTATTCAAGCTTTGGATTCTTGAAGTAGCCATATGTAGTTATTCAACCTAGCAGGTAAGTATGATGCGAAAGAGATTACAACCTTTCTGTATAGAGAGGGTTATCTCCGAGCATCATACTGACCTGCTAGGTAACCCGCCCTCCTCCCCACGGTTTCATCTTCTGATAGATAACAAATTATGGCCTTCAAAAGATGGTTACGCATGCGCGAGGGACCAGTCAAAGGCATGGCCAGGGGAGCGTTAATTTTTTATTCTTGGCGGGTAATTATTGCGAAAGTAGAGTTAGCCATATGTAGTTATTCAACCTAGCAGGTAAGTATGGTGCTCGGAGATAACCTTCTCTATACAGAAAGGGTGTGATTTCCGTTATTAGCTCACCTGGTCCGAGGTGAGCTTATGCCATACTGTGGCGTCTGCCGTCTGTACGTCAACAATTTCTTTGAACGACTTCTTCTTCTTAACCACTGATTGGAATTTAACTAAATTTGACTGGAAGCATCCCTAGGTGGTAGGGATTCAAAATTGTACAAATGGTGGGGCTGACCCCCCAGGGGGCTGAGGGGCGGGGCCAAAAGCGGGCAATTTGGCTATATTGCTTTAAGCAACTTCTTCTCTGGAACTAAGAGATGGATATCAACCATATTTGACTGGAAGCATCCCTAGGTGGTGGGGATTCAAAATTGTACAAATGGTGGGGCTGACCTCCCGGGGAGCTGAGGGGCGGGGTCAAAAGCAGGCAATTTGGCTATATTGCTTTAAGCGACTTCTTCTCTGGAACTAAGAAATGGATATCAACCATATTTGACTGGAAGCATCCTTAGGTGGTGGGGATTCAAAATTGTACAAATGGTGGGGCTGAGGGTCGGGGCCAAAAGCGGGTAATTTGGCTATATTGCTACAAACAACTTCTTCTGTAGAACAATGCACTGGATATCAATCATATTTGATCAAAAGAATTCATAGGAGGTGTGGATTCAAAATTGTACAAATGATGGGGCTGACCNGCCAAAAGAGGGCAATTTGGCTATATTGCTTTAAGCAACTTCTTTGGAACTAATTAGAGATAGATATCAACCATATTTAACTGGAAGCATCCTTAGGTGGTGGGGATTCAAAACTGTACAAATGGTGGGGCTGAGGGGCGGGGCCAAAAGGGGGCAATTTGGCTTTATTGCTATAACGACTTCTGTAGAACTGTGCCATGGATATCGATCATATTTGGTCGGAAGCATTCATGGGAGGCAGGGATTCAAAATTGTACAAATTTCAGGGCTGATCCCCCGGGCTTAGGGGTGGGGCCAAAAAAAGTTTATTACTTGGAAACGGTTGAGATCCCCACCATATAACCATATATACAATTGTTGAGTATAAAGAGAAGAATGCAAATTTGCTTCCAGGATGTCCCTAGGGTCTGGCCCCACCCTCGGAGACATAGTCCCTGGGTGGTAACTTTGAAACAGTTGAGATCCCCTCCCCAAAACTATATATACAATTGTTGGGCATGAAGAGACGAATGCAATCATAATATTAGAATTGACCCCAGGGTCTGCCCCACCTTTGCAGACTTAACCCCTGGGTCATAACTTTAAAAAGGTTGAGATCCCCACCCCAAAACTAAATACAAATGCTTGGCAAAAAGAGACGAATGCAGTCATGATATTAGAATTTATCCTGGGGTCTGGCCACAACTCTATGGACCTAGTTTCATAGTCACAGCTTGGAAACAGTTGAGATCCCCAACCCATAATCATACATAAAATTGCTGGGCATGAAAAACCTGTTATAGCATTTCAAAGTCAAATTTCGCGCTGTCTGTCAATGGGACCTGTTCTTGTGACATCATGAGTACACGCAACAGTTTCCAGCAAAAAAAATATAGTTCATGGAAATAAACACAAAATCATCGATTTAATTTCAATTATTCAATCAATGTGTTCCACCGTGAGGATATTCACCTTTTATACAACATAACTACATAATGATACCCTTGATATAGTCAAAACGACGTCATTTAGTCACGACGTCACAAACATGTTCTTCATATCACTACACTAATGGAGTGAGAAGTATGATTTGTTATTTTGTTTGGTAAGGTTATATAATAGCAATGCAGAACAAAAAGAAATATATAAAAGTAACATGTTATCAACTGTTCCACATGCTTTTTGCATGAGCAGGAGTACGTATGCAGTCCCATACATGGTGTCTGCTCCATATCTTCAGTAATAGTAGCTATATATAGTCACATTATTTAATCATTTTAATCCTTATGTCTAATATTTTTGTATTTATCCTCAATCAGAATGGGAAGATATAGAATAAATCCAAAGGTTGATGTACATAAATGGTAACATAAATTTATCTTATTCTTCCAGAAATTTGTTGAACTTGAGGATGAGAGGATAGAAGATCCTATGCAAAGTACTGACATTCCTGTAGATTGGAGTCTGAAGGTCAAAATGAGGGTGATATCTGAGAAATCTTTATTGTGGTGTACACAATTACGGACAGCAGAAGAGGCCAGGGGCATAAGTCAGTTCCTAACAGGACCTCCAGATACACTGGTACAGTCATACCACCCCCTCATAGGAACTGGATACTCAAGTACAGTCATACCACCCCCTCACAGGACCTCCAGATACACTGGTTCAGTCATACCACCCCTTCAGAGACACTAGATACTCAAGTACAGTCATACCACCCCCTCACAGGAACTAGATACTTCAGTACAGTCATACCCCCCCCTCACAGGAACTATATACACTGGTACATTCATACCACCCCTTACAGGAACTATATACACTGGTACGGTCATACCACCCCTTACAGGAACTATATACACTGGTACGGTCATACCACCCCTTACAGGAACTATATACGCTGGTACAGTCATACCACCCCTTACAGGAACTATATACACTGGTACGGTCATACCACCCCTTACAGGAACTATATACACTGGTACAGTCATACCACCCTCTCATAGGAAGTAGATACTCAAGTACCAGTAACTAAATCCACTGGTACAGTCATGCCACCCCCTCACAGGAACTAGATACTCAAGTACAGTCATACCAACCCCTCATAGGAACTAGATACTTCAGTACAGTCATCCCACCCCTCACAAGAACTATATACTCAAGTACAGTCATACCACCCCTCACAGGAACTAGATACTCCAGTAAAGTCATATAACCCCCTCACAGGAACTAGATACTTCAGTACAGTCATACCCCCCCTCACAAGAACTATATACTCAAGTACAGTCATACCCCCCCTCACAGGAACTATATACACTGGTACATTCATACCACCCCTTACAGGAACTATATACACTGGTACAGTCATACTACCCCTTACAGGAACTATATACACTGGTACGGTCATACCACCCCTTACAGGAACTATATACACTGGTACGGTCATACCACCCCTTACAGGAACTATATACGCTGGTACAGTCATACCACCCCTTACAGGAACTATATACGCTGGTACAGTCATACCACCCCTTACAGGAACTATATACGCTGGTACAGTCATACCACCCCTTACAGGAACTATATACACTGGTACAGTCATACTACCCCTTACAGGAACTATATACACTGGTACGGTCATACCACCCCTTACAGGAACTATATACGCTGGTACAGTCATACCACCCCTTACAGGAACTATATACGCTGGTACAGTCATACCACCCCTTACAGGAACTATATACACTGGTACAGTCATACCTCCCCCTCATAGGAACTAGATACTTCAGTAAAGTCATATAACCCCCTCATAGGAACTATATACACTGGTAGTCATACCACCCCCTCATTGGAACTAGCTAATCTGGTACAGTAATACCCCCCCCTCATTGGAACTAGATACACTGGTACATTCATACCACTCCCTCATAGGAACTAGATACTTAAGTACAGTCATACCTCCCCCTCATAGGAACTAGATACTTCAGTAAAGTCATATAACCCCCTCATAGGAACTATATACACTGGTACAGTCATACTACCCCTTACAGGAACTATATACACTGGTACGGTCATACCACCCCTTACAGGAACTATATACGCTGGTACAGTCATACCACCCCTTACAGGAACTATATACGCTGGTACAGTCATACCACCCCTTACAGGAACTATATACGCTGGTACAGTCATACCACCCCTTACAGGAACTATATACACTGGTACAGTCATACCACCCTCTCATAGGAAGTAGATACTCAAGTACAGTCATGACACCCCCTCACAGGAACTAGATACTTCAGTACAGTCATACCACCGTACAGTCATACCACCCCCTCACAGGACCTCCAGATACACTGGTTCAGTCATACCACCCCCTCAGAGACACTAGAATCTTCAATACAGTCATACCACCCCCTCAGAGACACTAGATACTCAAGTACAGTCATACCACCCCCTCACAGGACCTCCAGATACACTGGTTCAGTCATACCACCCCTTCAGAGACACTAGATACTCAAGTACAGTCATACCAACCCCTCACAAGAACTATATACTCAAGAACAGTCATACCATCCCCTCACAGGAGCTAAATACTCAAGAACAGTCATACCACCCCCTCACAGGAACAAGATACTCCAGTAAAGTCATACCACCCCCTCACAGGAACTAGATACACTGGTACAGTCATACCACCCTCTCACAGGAACTAGATACACTGGTACAGTCATACCACCCCCTCATAGGAACTAGATACACTGGTACAGTCATACCAACCCTCATAGGAACTATATACACTGGTACAGTCATACCACCCCCTCATAGGAACTAGATACACTGGTACAGTCATACCACCCCCTCATAGGAACTAGATACACTGGTACAGTCATACCAACCCTCATAGGAACTATATACACTGGTACAGTCATACCACCCCCTCATAGGAACTAGATACACTGGTACAGTCATACCACCCCCTCATAGGAACTAGATACACTGGTACAGTCATACCAACCCTCATAGGAACTATATACACTGGTACAGTCATACCACCCCCTCATAGGAACTAGATACACTGGTACAGTCATACCACCCCCTCATAGGAACTAGATACACTGGTAGTCATACCACCCTCTCACAGGAACGAGATACTCCAGTACAGTCATACCACCCCCTCATAGGAACTAGATACACTGGTAGTCATACCACCTCTCACAGGAACTAGATACTTCATTACAGTCATACCACCCCCTCACAGGAACTATATACACTGGTACAGTCATACCACCCCCTCACAGGAATTAGATACTTCAGTACAGTCATACCACCCCCTCAGAGACACTAGATACTCCAGTAAAGTCATACCACCCCCTCACAGGAACTAGATACACTGGTACAGTCATACCACCCCCTCACAGGAACTAGATACTTCAGTACAGTCATACCACCCCCTCAGAGACACTAGATACTTCAGTAAAGTCATACAACCCCTCACAGGAACTAGATACTCCAGTAAAGTCATACCACCCCCTCACAGGAACTAGATACACTGGTACAGTCATACCACCCCCTCATAGGAACTAGATACACTGGTACAGTCATACCAACCCTCATAGGAACTAGATACACTGGTAGTCATACCACCCCCTCATTGGAACTAGATAATCTGGTACAGTAATACCACCCCCTCATTGGAACTAGATACTCTGGTACAGTAATACCACCCCCTCATTGGAACTAGATACACTGGTACAGTCATACCAACCCCTCATAGGAACTAGATACTTCAGTACAGTCATACCTCCCCTCACAGGAACTATATACACTGGTACAGTCATACCACCCCCTCATTGGAACTAGATACACTGGTACATTCATACCACTCCCTCATAGGAACTAGATACTTAAGTACAGTCATACCACCCCCTCATAGGAACTAGATCCTTCAGTACCGTCATACCACCCCCTCATAGGAAGTAGATACTCAAGTACAGTCATACCACCCCCTCACAGGAACTATATACACTGGTACAGTCATACCACCCTCTCATAGACACTAGATACTTCAGTACAGTCATACCACCCCCTCACAGGAACTATATACACTGGTACAGTCATACCCCCCTCTCACAGGAACTATATACACTGGTACAGTCATACCCCCCTCTCACAGGAACTATATACACTGGTACAGTCCTACCACCCTCTCATAGACACTAGATACTTCAGTACAGTCATACCACCCCCTCACAGGAACTAGATACTCCAGTAAAGTCATATAACCCCCTCACAGGAACTAGATACTTCAGTACAGTCATACCACCCCTTACAGGAACTACATACACTGGTACAGTCATACCCCCCCCTCACAGGAACTAGATACACTGGTAGTCATACCACCCTCTCACACGAACGAGATACTCCAGTACAGTCATACCACCCCTTACAGGAACTACATACACTGGTACAGTCATACCCCCCCCTCACAGGAACTAGATACTCCAGTACAGTCATACCACCCCTCACAGGAACTAGATACTTCAGTCCAGTCATGCCCCCCCCTCACAGGACCTAGATACTCCAGTAAAGTCATAGCACCCCCTCACAGGAACTAGATACCACGGTACAGTCATACCACCCTCTAATAGGAAGTAGATACTCAAGTACAGTCATACAACCCCCTCACAGGAACTAGATACCACGGTACAGTCATACCACCCCCTCGGAGACACTAGAATCTTCAATACAGTCATACCACCCCCTCCTAGGAACTAGATACTCAAGTACAGACATACCACCCCCTCACAGAACCTCCAGATACACTGGTTCAGTCATACCACCCCCTCAAAGGAACTAGATACTTCAGTCCAGTCATGCCCCCCCCTCACAGGACCTAGATACTCCAGTAAAGTCATACCACCCCCTCACAGATACACTGGTACAGTCATACCCCCCCCTCACAGGAACTAGATACTCCAGTACAGTCATACCACCCCCGCATGGGCACTAGATACTTCAGTACAGTCATACCACACCCTCAGAGACACTAGAATCTTCAATACAGTCATACCACCCCCTCCTAGGAACTAGATACTCAAGTACAGTCATACAACCCCCTCACAGGAACTATATACTCTGGTACAGTCATACCACCCACTCATAGGAAGTAGATACTCAAGAACAGTCATACCCCCCCTCACAGGAACAAGATACACCAGTAAAGTCATACCACCCCCTCACTGGAACTAGATACACTGGTACAGTCATACCACCCCCTCAGAGACACTAGCTACTTCAGTACAGTCATACTACCAAATCTGGTACACATTTTCCATAAAGCTGGATTGCATTCATAGCCCTATGAATGTAATTTCTCATCATAATACTTATTGAGAGACTTGTATTGGAAATGTTCAATATAAACAAAATTTAATGATGTTCCAAATTCCCATTAAAGGAGTGGGAGAGGCTATCTTGGTTGTAGCTTTAAGGGACAATGTTTTAGATATAGATAATAAGACTGGCTATATTAAGGGGCAATGTTTTAGATATAGATAATAATACTGACTATATTAAGGGACAATGTTTTAGACATAGATAATAAGACTGGCTATATTAAGGGACAATGTTTTAGATATAGATAATAAGACTGGCTATATTAAGGGGCAATGTTTTAGATATAGATAATAAGACTGACTATATTAAGGGACAATGTTTTAGATATAGATAATAAGACTGGCTATATTAAGGGACAATGTTTTAGATATAGATAATAAGACTGGCTATATTTTGTGTGTTATAAGCATCACTTGATGAATGGGATAACATTTTGATTAAATGAAGGTGGAAGACAGAATTGCAAGACTAAGAGGAACACATTGTTTTAAATCTTTTAAGAACAACAGAAGCTTTGCAGAGTTGGCTGATTATAAGCTCATATTGTGTAAGGCATACCATAGGATTAAGTTTTGTCATTATAAAGGTGTACATTGATGTGGGTTTAGCAGTGTGGTGCATTATGGGAAATAGTGAGAAATACTCTCTGAAATAGGATGATACATTTTAACATTTCCATATATTATTTCAGGAACATTTACATTATGGTTGGCTTGTTTCCAGTTTGTGTAAAGTGTAAACCATATGAATTTTTTAGGCCCTCTTGCTTTAAACACTTAATTTGACAGTGAAATGAGTAAATATTCAGTTTCAACTTGACCCTCCAGATGGCGCTGAAAGAGTCAGAGAGAAAGGCCCACTTCCAGGAGGCAGGCTTGTACTGGATTTATCCTAGCCTTCCTTGGATGAAGCTCTTCCCAAGAATTGCTCCTGATGCTAAATTAAGGTATTTCAATGTTTTTCTGCAATATTGACAGGCTCCAGTTTTACCTATTACCTATTCCTAAAATAACACTGAACACTAGACAAAACCATGACTAAACACTACTAGACCCCCATCACATTACTCTAAACACAAGACCCCCATCACATTACTCTAAAAACTAGACACCCCATCACATTACTCTAAACACTAGACCCCCATCACATTACTCTAAACACTAGACCCCCATCACATTACTCTAAACACTAGACCCCCCATCACATTACTCTAAGTACTAGATCCCCATCACATTACTCTAAACACTAGACCCCCCAATCACATTACTCTAAACACTATACCCCACAATCACATTACTCTAAACACTAGACCCCAATCAGGTTACTCTAAACACTAGACCCCCATCACATTACTCTAAGTACTAGATCCCCATCACATTACTCTAAACACTAGACCATCACCACATTACTCTAAACACTAGACCCCCCAATCACATTACTCTAAACACTAGCCCCCCATCACATTACTCTAAACACTAGGCCCCCCATCACATTACTCTAAACACTAGCCCCCCAATCACATTATTCTAAACACTAAACCCCCATCACATATCTCTAAACACTAGACCAGGCCATCACCACATTACTCTAAACACTAGACCCCCCATCACATTACTCTAAACACTAGACCCCAATCAGGTTACTCTAAACACTAGACCCCCATCACATTACTCTAAACACTAGACCCCCAATCACATTATTCTAAACACTAAACCCCCATCACATATCTCTAAACACTAGACCAGGCCATCACCACATTACTCTAAACACTAGACCCCATCACAATACTCTAAACACTAGACCCCCCATCACATAACTCTAAACACTAGACCCCCATCACATTACTCTAAACACTAGACCCCCCATCACATAACTCTAAACACTAGACCCCCATCACATTACTCTAAACACTAGACCCCCACAAAACATTACTCTAAACACTAGACCCCCCCATCACATTACTCTAAACACTAGACCCCCATCACATTACTCTAAACACTAGACCATCACTACATAACTCTAAACATTAAGCCAGCAGCAATATGTGATATTAATTTTCAAATATTATCCCCTTACAACGAAAGTTTGAGGTGGTATATATAGGATTCTGGCTGTATGTACGTATGTTACACTCTTTTTCATTGCTCTAGCTAGCGACTTCATTTCTCAACAGAATTTCATGAAACTTCATACGAGTGTTTGGTATGACAATACCTGGAACAAGTTCGTGGTTTGGATAACTACGATGAAGGTCAAGGTCACTGTTACTTTTTTGTCTCGCCTGCGACGGATGTTACTTTTCCGGCGGCAGCGGCGGAGGCGGAGGAGTAATCATTAAGTTTTTGCATACCTTTTGAGAAACAGAGCTAACTCTGTTTCTCAAAAGGTATGAGCTAGACAAACCAAACTCGGACCATGCGTCTTATATACTTCATCCTATGCTGAATGTGCCCTATATTTCACGGTCCAGTGACTTCGACAGCATCTTCATCAATGTAAGGTTTTTGCATTTAGCTCTTTTTTTCTCTCAAAAAGTATAAGTGCCAGACGAACCAAACTTGGACCATGCGTCTTATATTCATAGCTCATGGATTATAAACCATGCATGATATGTTGAATGTGGCCTACATTTAGCGGTCCAGTGACTTTCACAGCATCTTCCTAAATGTAAAGCTTTTGCCTTCAGCTGTATGTTATATACTGTATCTCAAACATTTATAGTGTTAGACTAATTAAGCAGAGAGACAGTGGTGACAGTCCAAATTAACCGTTCACCAACAGTTTATAGCTATAGGGAACAATGTCAGCTAGTTGGTTCACTTCTCATTCAGTCAAAGAAGGCTTATAATTATTATTCGGAAATAATCGAAGAATGTGAGCTTGATCCACTGCCTACAGACATATTAAAGCAATGTCTGGAAGCACTGCTTCCCTTGATTACCTCAAACATGAACAAATCATTGGCTGAGTCACCATTATGTTTCAAGAAGGCACATGTAAGACCATTGTTAAAGAAGCCTGGTACGAACTAGGAGGAGCTGAAGAACTACCGCCCAGTTTCAAATCTGCCTTTTCTGTCTGAGATCTTGGAGAAGGTAGTGTCCCAGCGTTTAGAGGGTCATCTCCATGCAAACAGTCTCCATGACAACATGCAATCGACCTACCGCATGGGACACTCTACTGAGACGACCTTCTTACGTGTACATGATGATATATCTTCTGCATTGGATAACAAGTGCAGAGCGGTGCTCGTCATGCTGGACTTCTCAGCTGCATTTGACGTCATCGACCATGGCATACTTTATAAACGTCTGGAATACTCTTATGGAGTGACTGATACCGCACTATGCTGGATACAGTCTTATCTGAGTGAACGACGACAATGTGTTGCCATCGGATCTACCACCTCACATGACAAAGTACTAGATTTCAGGGTTTCTCAAGGGTCAGTGTTAGGACCCCGAAAATATTGCCTGTACTGAAAACCGATTGGAGAGATTTGTCGTCGCCATAGTTTTCTCTATCATTGCTATGCTGATGACACACAAATTTACATGGTCATCAAACCACAAGACAGTGGGGATACAGTCTCAGAAAATCTGGAAGCTTGTCTGACAGATATCAGGACCTGGATGAACGCCAACATGCTAAAGCTTTATCAGGAAAAGAAGGGACTAATCATCTTTTCCCCAAAATGTCAGCAAACAATGGCTTTTAAGCTCAAGGTCGGTGCCAGAACTATTGAGACTGTCCCAGCTATTAAAAACCTAGGGGTATACTTTGATAGTTCACTGAACATGGAGAAACAAGTGAACGCTATTGCCAAATCCTGTTACTACCATACATGCCAGAATTCTTGGAGAACAATCTGTGAGTTTTACAGTCTCTTTAAGGGAATTGAGGTGAAAATAAGAGAGGTTTCATTTGCGGCATTTTTTCACGGCAAAAAGACTATCTTACTCAACTATATCAGTGAAATAAAGTAAAAAATATTTAAGTCATGAACTTTGTTTTGACTTTGGCAGTTTTTTTTGTATATATTGAATATGATTATATACATTTAATAGCACAAAGTTAACAAAACAAAATATCACATAGTTGAGATATACTGAAGAAGCAGATTTTACTTTAAATTTCGAAATTTAGTTGGACAGGCCACTTTTCACAGCAGCCACAGTACTAACTGATGTTCAGTTTAAACTTTGAACTATGTGTTTGGATGGGTTTGTAAAAATAAGGATAATACTTGTCTATGTTCATTTACATTTGAACTTCTTGATAATATTACAGAATGTTGAAACATGCAAGAGGACAGAAATAATCAGCTGTGAAAGTGAAGAAAACTGTGTTCAGTATTTGAACTTTTAAATTACATATTTCAGCATTCAGAACAAAGACTTTTTCCATTTTATTCATGACATGCCCCTTATATATTTACCGGTCGTTCACTTTACTTTCGTAATGAGATTATATTTGTAAAGAAACACTTAGCCGGACATAGTATTAATCAAAGTTTCTAGCAATGAACTTAACCTTACAAACATGACAGGAAACATGTTTTGTGCTAGTTCTACTGACAGTGTGAGGTATCAACTAGACGGGAAATTTTGATGCTGAAGCCCACACCGTTGCGTAGTGGTTGAATGTCAGGCATTATGTAGTATCACGGAAATTTATGGCAACAATATGAAAGGATCACACTAAATCTGTAATAAGAATTTATTTTAATTGTTCAGATGGATTACTTATTGTAAAAGACACCGAAATCAACTCACAATTTCAACCCGGCCATTTCAACCAGCGAAATGTTCCGGAAGTTATCAAAAGAGCTCTTCGATCACATGACCAATCACATGATCGCTACTCGAGAGCTCTCATGATTTATCGCTAAAACATTGTTGAATCTCGTAAGACTTTGAGTAAAGACTTTTGTGGTATATCTGACAAACTAACTAGTCGTCCGCAGAGGGTCCAGAAGACTGCAGCACGGCTGGTTACTCGTACTCGAAAGAGAGAGCACATCACACCTGTGCTAGATACAGGTCGCGTTACAAAATGTTGGTGTTCACATACAAGGCACTGAATGGAATAGCTCCTCAGTACCTACAGGAGCTTGTTACCCTGTATCAGCCGTGATGTAACGATCACTGCGGTCGGAGTCAAAATCATTGTTGTGTGTCCCAAAATCTCAAAACCACCCTTTATTTGTTCAATTATGTGCACATTGCTTGCTTGAATGTATAAAAGTGATTGTAAGCCTTTGTGTTTTTTTTCACAATTATAAAGTTCTATAACTATTATCCATATGTTGTAAAGCGCTTTAGAGAAATTTTACAAATTAAATAGGGCGCTATATAAATGTTGTATATATTATGTTATTATTAATTAAACTTGGGCTGTAAGTTTGGATGATCAGTACCATCCTTAGGGTTACAACATCAATGTTTTAACGGAATAAGACAACAAACATGGCTGCTGGCTTCTCATTGGTTGAAATTCAGATATTGTTCAATTTCCCTCCAATTTATTATTTGGGTGTATTTTGTAACCAAGAACTCAGCCGCAACATCCATTTTCTGATTTGACAAAATGGCCACCTTATATTGGCTTCTGATTGGTTGAAATTCCGTTATTTTCCTATTTCAATCAAATTTGGTAAGTACATGTATTTAAGCACTGCGCACTCAGCCGCAACATCCGTTTTCTGTTTGACAGAAAATAGCCACTGTGTATTGGCTTCTGATTGGTCGAAATTCAGTTATTGTTTGATTTCGCTAAAATTTGGTATGTAAGTGTATTTTTGCACTGTGAACTGAATTGCGTTTTCTGATCTGACAATAGGCTTGTTGTATACTGGCTTCTACATGATTGGTCGAAATTCACATATATTTTGATTTCGCTCAAATTTGGTAGGTACGTGAACTATGGTACTGTGAGATCCATTCTCCTATTTACATTTGCTTTTCCGAATTGCGTGGGGGGGGGGGGTTAGTTTTGGGGGGCATCTGTAATGGCCGGCTCCCATTTCAATTAGCACTTGTTCCTTTTATGCCTCCGATGTATTGCCAAACTTGTTTATAAAATGTAAAATTCTGAATTTCGGCTCAAACTTGCAATGCTTGACACATTGAATTGTATGCTCAAAGTGGGGACAGGCGAGACATATAATTGCGCGTAATTCTTGTTTAGAAAAACATTGTCATCGCTCTAGTGTCTTCATTCCTCAATGGAATTTCATTTAACTTGATATGTGTGTTTGGTAGGCAATGCCTGGAACAAATTCGTGTTTCAGGTTTCTACATTGAAGGTCAAGGTCACTGTTACTGTCTTTAGAAAAACTTTGTCATCGCTCTAGCCATTTGTGTTTTGGGTTACTGACTGAAAGTTCAAGGTCATTTACAAATGTACTATTTTTAGAAAATCTTTGTCATCGCTCTTTCGACTGCATTCCTCAACGAAATTTTGTGAAACTTGATACAATTATTTGCCATGACCTTTGAAGTGCAGTCTATAGAGCAGTTACTATTACATTATTACATTTTCTATTCATTTCCTCATTCATATGAATGTGCACACAATGTGTGAATGTGAGGGGATTTGTATCACTTGTGATCATACCTTGTTGATTTCTTATTCAGGACAGCCAATATAGGACTACTAGATAACTTGGTGCAGACAGCATTACAATCAGACTGGTAAGAATCTTTAAATTTCTTTTTTTATATAAATATATGTAAAGAAAATAATTACTTAGGTCATATTTATGGTAAAAAAAACCATCTCCAGTAAATAAACATAGAAAAAAAAGTGTTAAAGAATCTCCACCATCCGTAATACTGTTCTTACATTTAGCTCACCTAGCCAAAAGGGCCAAGTAAACTTCTGCTGTGGTGCATGTCCGTTGCCTGTTCAGCATTAGTGTTTTACTTTAAACAACCTTTTCTGAATAACCAAAAGGCTTAGGGTGATTATATTTAGCAAGTAGCATGCAGATGTGAAGTGCTACCAAGTTTGTTCAAATGAATGGCTACTAATCATATTCAAGGTCACAGGGGTCAAATATGTTTAAAGTTTTCAATGACTTCTGAATAACCAAAATGGCTAAAACTAGGGTGATGATAATTATCCAGTAGCAAGCTGGGATAAAGAGTTGCCAAGTTTGTTTAAATGATTGATCTTTACCCATATTCAAGGTCAAGTGGTCAATTGTCTTAAAAAATATTTTAAACAATTTCTTCTGATATTTCTTCTGAACAACCAAAAGGCCTAGGGTGTTGATATTTTGCTAGTAGCATGTTTACTGTAAGTCTGTCATGTTTGTTCATGAGAATGACCTTCACCCATATTAAAGGTCAATTGGATCAAATATGTTGAAATCTTTTTAACAACTTCCCCTGAATAACCTAAAGGTCAATTGTGATGATATTTGGTCCGAAACATACTGGGATAAAGGGCTACCAACTTTGTTGTGGAAAACATGTGTTTAATGTGTTAAATGTCAAAAATTATTGAAAACGTTTAAACAACAGAGTCTAGGTCTAGGCTATAGTGATATGTGAGACCAGAACATGCACAGATATATAAGAGCTACAAGGTTTGTCTAAATGAACGTCTTTTGCCCATATTCAAGGTGACAGGGATCAAATGTGTTAAAATCATTTAAACATGTTATAAAAAAATATAGGTAGGTAAGAATACTCCTGAAATCTCGAGTACATCAACATAAAAAATAGTGGTAGGTTAGAATACCTGCATATTTAGCTCACCTGGCCCGAAGGTGAGCTTATGCCATGGTGCAGCATCTGTCGTCAATCCGTCTTGACCCCTGGGACCATTTTCAAGGTCACAGGGGTCAATTGTCTTAAAAAATCTTTAAACAACTTCTTCTGAATAACTAAGAGACCTCTAGGATAATGATATTTTGCCAGTAATATGCTGGGATGAAGAGCTACCAAGTTTGTTCAAATAAATGACCTTGACTTATATTCAAGGTCACAGGGGTCAAATATGTTTAAAACCTTTAAACGACTTCTTCTGAATAACCTAGAGTCCTAGGATAATGCCAGTAACATCGTAATATGTTTAAAATCTATTAATAGGTTCTTATGAATCAAACACTGATATTCTGCCTGTAGTTGTGTTTTAGTCCGCTTTTAAGATTACAAGTGTGAGATAAATACCAGGTGAGCGATTCAGGCCCATTGGGCCTCTTGTTTATGTAGGAGCCGGGGTTATTACTTACCGTTTGGCTTACAGTTCTGGTTTATGTAGGAGCTGGGGGTATTACTTACCCTTTGGCTTGCAGTTCTGGTTTATGTAGGAGCGTGGGGTATTACTTAACCTGTTGCTTACAGTTTTAGTTTATGTAGGAGCGGGGGGTATTACTTACCATTTGGCTTACAGTTCTGGTTTTTGAAGGAGCAGGGGGTATTACTTACCTTTTGGCTTACAGTTCTGGTTTATGTAGGGGCGGGGGGTATTACTTACCATTTGGCTTACAGTTCTGGTTTATGTAGAAGTGGGGGGTATTACTTGCCCTGTGGCTTACAGTTCTGGTTTATGTAGAAGCGTGGGGTATTACTTACCCTTTGGCTTACCGTTCTGGTTTATGTAGGAGCGGGGGCTATTACTTACCCTTTGGCTTACAGTTCTGGTTTATGTAGAAGTGGGGGGTATTACTTGCCCTGTGGCTTACAGTTCTGGTTTATGTAGAAGCGTGGGGTATTACTTACCCTTTGACTTACAGTTCTGGTTTATGTAGGAGAGGTGGATATTACTTACCCTTTGGCTTACAATTCTGGTTTATGTAGGAGCGGGGGTATTACTTACCCTTTGGCTTACAGTTCTAGTTTATGTAGGAGCGGTGGGATTACTTACCCTTTGGCTTACAGTTCTGGGTTATGTAGAAGCGGGGGGTATTACTTTCCCTTTGACTTACAGTTCTGGTTTATGTAGGGGCGGGGGGTATTACTTACCATTTGGCTTACAGTTCTGGTTTATGTAGGGGCGGGGGGTATTACTTACCATTTGGCTTACAGTTCTGGTTTTTGAAGGAGCAGGGGGTATTACTTACCGTTTGGCTTACTGTTCTGGTTTATGTAGGAGTGGGGGGTATTACTTACCCTTTGGCTTGCAGTTCTGGTTTATGTCGGAGCTGGGGGTATTACTTTCCCTTTGGCTTACAGTTCTGGTTTATGTAGAAGTGGGGGGTATTACTTGCCCTGTGGCTTACAGATCTGGTTTATGTAGGAGCGGGGGTTTTTACTTTCCCTTGGGCTTACAGTTCTGGTTTATGTAGAAGCCGGGGTATTACTTACCTTGTGGCTTACAGTTCTGGTTTATGTAGGGGCGGGGGGTATTTCTTACCTTGTAGCTTACAGTTCTGGTTTATGTAGGGGCGGGGGGTATTTCTTACCTTGTAGCTTACAGTTCTGGTTTATGTAGAAGCCGGGGTATTACTTACCCTGTGGCTTACAGTTCTGGGTTATGTAGGAGCGGGGGGGATTACTTAACCTGTGGCTTACAGTTCTGGTATATGTAGGAGCGGGGGGTATTACTTGCCCTTTGGCTTACAGTTCTGGTTTATGTAGAAGCGGGGGGTATTACTTTCCCTTACAGTTCTGGTTTATGTAGAAGTGGGGGGTATTACTTGCCCTGTGGCTTACAGTTCTGGTTTATGTAGAAGTGGGGGGTATTACTTGCCCTGTGGCTTACAGATCTGGTTTATGTAGGAGCGGGGGCTATTACTTACCCTTTGGCTTACAGTTCTGGTTTATGTAGGGGCGGGGGGTATTACTTACCATTTGGCTTACAGTTCTGGTTTTTGAAGGAGCAGGGGGTATTACTTACCGTTTGGCTTACTGTTCTGGTTTATGTAGGAGTGGGGGGTATTACTTACCCTTCCAGTTCTGGTTTATGTAGGAGCGTGGGGTATTACTTAACCTGTTGCTTACAGTTCTAGTTTATGTAGGAGCGATGGTATTACTTACCCTTTGGCTTACATTTCTGGTTTATGTAGGAGCGGGGTGTATTACTTACCCTTACAGTTCTGGTTTATGCAGGAGCGGGGGGTATTACTTACCCTGTGGCTTACAGTTTTGGTTTATGTAGAAGCGGGGGGTATTACTTGCCCTGTGGCTTACAGTTCTGGTTTATGTAGGGGCGGGGGGTATTACTTACCATTTGGCTTACAGTTCTGGTTTTTGAAGGAGCAGGGGGTATTACTTACCGTTTGGCTTACTGTTCTGGTTTATGTAGGAGTGGGGGGTATTACTTACCCTTCCAGTTCTGGTTTATGTAGGAGCGGGGTGTATTACTTACCCTTACAGTTCTGGTTTATGTAGAAGTGGGGGGTATTACTTGCCCTGTGGCTTACAGTTCTGGTTTATGTAGAAGTGGGGGGTATTACTTGCCCTGTGGCTTACAGATCTGGTTTATGTAGGAGCGGGGGGTATTACTTACCCTTTGACTTACAGTTTTGGTTTATGTAGGAGCGTGGGGTATTACTTACCCTTTGACTTACAGTTCTGGTTTATGTAGGAGCGTGGGGGATTACTTAACCTGTTGCTTACAGTTCTAGTTTATGTAGGAGCGGGGGGTATTACTTTCCCTTACAGTTCTGGTTTATGTAGGAGCGGGGGGTATTCCTTACCCTTTGGCTTACAGTTCTGGTTTATGTAGAAGCGGGGGGTATTACTTGCCCTGTGGCTTACAGTTCTGGTTTATGTAGGAGCAGGGGGTATTACTTACCTTTTGGCTTACAGTTCTGGTTTATGTAGGAGTGGGGGGTATTGCTTACCCTTTGACTTACAGTTCTGGTTTATGTAGGAGCGTGGGGTATTACTTAACCTGTTGCTTACAGTTCTAGTTTATGTAGGAGCGGGGGGTATTACTTACCCTTACAGTTTTGGTATAATTTTGTGTTACAGGACAGAGAGCTTCACTTCAGTGTTCCATCAGTTACGTGCCCAGCACTGCCCTTACTTTTATGTGTGCACTCATCAGTTCTCTGTGCTGTTCCGGGCATCTGCTGTGGCAGGGCAAACAAATCTCAGTGCTCTCATCACCCCGACAACCAGGGGCATGAGACAGTCCCTGAAAGGGGAAGGTAAGACTTACTAGCCTACATACAGTCGAACCTCGTTATTTCGAGCACTTTACCCCATGTCAGATCTAAAATAGTTGGGGGCTCGGAGTGCTACACTCCATGTCAGGTCTACAACAGTTAGGGGCTCAGCGTACTACACCCTATGTCATGTCTACAACAGTTGGGGGCTCAGAGTACTACACCCTGTGTCATGTCTACAACAGTTAGGGGCTCAGAGTACTACACCCTATGTCATGTCTACAACAGTTGGCGGCTCAGAGTACTACACCCTATGTCAGGTCTACAACAGTTGGGGGCTCAGAGTACTACACCCTATGTCATGTCTACAACAGTTGGGAGCTCAGAGTGCTACACCCCATGTCATGTCTACAACAGTTGGGGGCTCAGCGTACTACACCCTATGTCAGATCTACAACAGTTTGGGGTTCAGCGTACTACACCCTGTGTCATGTCTACAACAGTTGGCGGTTCAGAGTACTTCACCCCATGTCAGGTCTACAACAGTTAGGGGCTCAGCGTACTACACCCTATGTCAGGTCTACAACAGTTAGGGGCTCAGAGTACTACACCCTATGTCATGTCTACAACAGTTAGGGGCTCAGAGTACTACACCCTGTGTCATGTCTACAACAGTTGGGGGTTCAGCGTACTACACCCTATGTCATGTCTACAACAGTTTGGGGTTCAGCGTACTACACCCTGTGTCAGATCTAAAACAGTTGGGGGCTCAGAGTACTACACCCTATGTCAGGTCTTCAACAGTTGGGGGCTCAGAGTACTACACCCTGTGTCATGTCTACAACAGTTGGGGGCTCAGAGTACTACACCCTATGTCAGGTCTACAACAGTTGGGGGCTCAGAGTACTACACCCTGTGTCATGTCTACAACAGTTGGGGGCTCAGAGTACTACACCCTGTGTCATGTCTACAACAGTTGGGGGCTCAGAGTACTACACCCTGTGTCATGTCTACAACAGTTGGGGGCTCAGAGTACTACACCCTATGTCATGTCTACAACAGTTGGGGGCTCAGAGTACTACACCCTGTGTCATGTCTACAACAGTTGGGGGCTCAGAGTACTACACCCTGTGTCATGTCTACAACAGTTGGGGGCTCAGAGTACTACACCCTATGTCATGTCTACAACAGTTGGGGGCTCAGAGTACTACACCCTGTGTCATGTCTACAACAGTTGGGGGCTCAGAGTACTACACCCTATGTTAGATCTTGGTCATGGTAAATTGACAGTTTGGAGCTCACATATATCTATGTCCCTGGTTTGTCACTTTACCATTGTGGAGATATGGTCATCGAAGTTCCAGTCAAATCATAACACATTAACATGATCTTCGCTAGCCAAGTGTTCGCTTCGTATACACTCCACTTACACTTGGCGGATAAAGCCGTGTTTACAGAGCCTTCAACTTTTTGTGATGTGCCAATCGCTCACATCCAATGAGATCGTGTCTTACATAAAGCGCTGTTGACGGAGGAAAACAGTAATGGCGACGCCCTGTACGGAAGCACATTGTCGTTTATATCAGAGTGTTTTGCCCCCAAAAATAGGTGCACGATCTTTGGGGTAACTTCTGGAGTTTTAAATCAGTTGGTGGAAATCCTTGACTACGTGCCACATGTAAATGATGACCTGGGAAAATATGTGTGCTGCCTTTAGATTGTTTCCATATTGCTCTGTCATTTATACTCCGCCTCGACATACACTTGCTCATGTCAACACACCGATGGAGTGTGTATGTAACAGTCATTCTGATTGGTTTAAAGTCTTTTGGGAGAAGAGCGATAACTCGGTATATCCTTTAGGTGGCAGTGGAAAGAATTGTGAAAACACGGCTATATCCGCCAAGGCTAAGTGGAGTGTATACGAAGCAACACTTGGCTAGCGAAGATGCATTAACATATGACTCGCACAACTAAATCATTTACTATATGTTATTACCAAACATTTTAGCTAATAACTTAAATATTTGAAGTTCAAAACTAGTGACAACTGTCTAGATTCATAAATACATACCTTGCAAAGGCTACAAAATGACTTTTTTGGTAGGTTTAGTGGCATATTGGAGTGTCACAGTGCCAAGAAGGTGACAACCGGAAGTTTACAAGCAAAACCAGTGACCCAAAACAGAAACGCCCCCAGACATTTTGCTCCTGTGCAAATCCGCACACAGACATGGAAATATATCAAAAGTATATATTTTTCAAAAGTTAAATACCTGAACATTTCATATATCTAAAAATCTGTCATCAGTTCCTTATTAAACTCCTTCAGTGGCCCAGTGATTAGCCGGAACTTATTTCAGATAGGAACTACAAACATACGAAACACTTGCTGATTGGCTTATAGTTGTGTGAGTCCTATAATGAAAGTTGTTTTTATTTTTAGTATGACATGTTTAGTATAACGTCAAGTTGGCTTGTTGCTTTTATATAGACAGTGTCTTATATGATTATGAAAATTGCTGCAAAACCTTACTTGCCAGTAAGGCACTATTTAACCCCCCCATTCCTTGACTGTTTCACCAGTAAAATAGCAAATCTGAGTAAAATTAATTTCTTTATTTGCTGTGACTAAATAGGCAAATATTTAGCTGCAGAAAAAATAAGGAATGTTTTGTCCTCAACAGGTGTTCATGTTCATTTTAACACTTGTGCAGTGTTGTGTTTTCATGTTCATTTTAACCCTTGTACAGTGTTGTGTTTTCGTAAAAAAATAATGATTAGCCTTGTTAATATGTTACAGATATATCTTTCACTTTGCCCGTACTTGAACACAGAAAAAACTGCATCAACCCAGAGAAAGGCTCAGAAGTCAGGAAGAAACAAGGCACTCAGTAAGTACGTAGTGTTATCTGTGTTGATGATTTTAGACGATCCATTTAGGAAGGATGAGTCAAGTTATCGGTTGATATTTTTGCCTATTAAAGCTCTTATGAAATTATGAAGTGCCTGTCAGCTCATTGTATGATGTTTAGTCCTATTCCCCCTTTTTTTTTTAGTCAATCATCGCCAGATTGTGCACTGTTCAAATTCTTCTTCCATGGTCCATCCATTCGTTCAATCATTGTCCGTGTGTCAACAATTTCTTCAAACAACTTCTTTTTCTTAACCACTGATTGGAATTTAACTACATTTGACTGGAACCATCCCTAGGTGGTGTGGATTCAAAATTGTACAAATGGTGGGGCTAACCCCCCAGGGGGTTGAGGGGTGGGGCCAAAAGGGGACAATTTAGCTATATTGCTATAAACGACTTCTTCTGTAGAACTGTGCAATGAATATCAATCATATTTGGTCATAAGCATTCATGAGAAGCAGGGATTTAAAAGTGTACAAATGGTGGGACTGACCCCCCAGGGGGCTGAGGGGTGAGGCCAAAATGGGGCAATTTTGCTATATTGCTTCAAGCGACTTCTTCTCTACAACTGATAGATGGACATCAACCATATTTAACTGGAAGCATCCCTAGGTAGTGGGTATTCAAAATTGTACAAATGGTGGGCTGATCCCCCAGGGGTCTGAGGGGCGGGGCCAAAAGGGGGCTATTTGGCTAAATTGCTATAATGACTTTTTCTGTAGAACTATGCACTGGATATCAATCAGATTTGGTCATAAGCATTCATAAGAGGCAGGGATTTAAAATTATTCAAATGGTAGGACCCCCTGGGGGGAGGGCATCAAAAAGGGTTATTTTGCTATATTGCTTTAAGCGACTTCTTCACTGGAACTAAGAGATTGATATCAACCATATTTGACTGGATGCATCCCTAGGTAGTGGGGATTCAAAATTGTACAAATGATAGGGTTAACCCCTAAAGGGGGCTGAGGGATGGGGCCAAAAGGGGGCAATTTGGCTATTTTGCTATAAATGACTTCTGTAGAACTATGCACTAGATATCAATCGTATTTGGTTGGAAGCATTCATGGGAATCAGGGATTCAAATTGTATAAGTAGTGGGGCTAACCCCCTTGGCTAAAGGGTGAGGTCAAAAATAGTTTATTGTTTGGAAATATCCCCACCCTATAACCATATATACAATTGCTGAGTATGAAGAGAAGAATGCACATATGCTTCCAGGATTGCCCAGGGGTATGGACCCACCCTTGGAAACATAGTCCCTGGGTCATAACTTTGAAACGGTTGAGATACCCACCCCAAAACTGTATATACAAATGCTGGGCATAAAGAGATGAATGCAGTCATGATATAAGAATTGACCCCAGGGTCTGTCCCACCCTTGGAGACTTAACCCCTGGGTCATAACTTCAAAATGGTTAAGATCCCCACCCCAAAACTATATATACAAAATCTGGGCATAAAGAGACGAATGCAGTCATGATATTAGAATTGACCCCAGGGTCTAGCTGCCCCGCCCTCGCAGACTTAACCCTGGGTCATAACTTTGAAACAGTTAATATCCCCACCCCAAAACTATATATATACCATTGTTGGGCATAAGAGATGAATGTAATCAGGATATTGGGATTAACCACAGGGTCTGCCCCATCCTCGCATACTTAACACAAATGTTGGACATAAAGAGACGAATGCAGTCATGCTATCAGAATTGACCCTGGGGTCTTGCCACAAACCTAGGGACCTAGTTTCTGAGTCACATCTCGGAAACAGTTGAGATCCGCACCCCATAACCATACATAAAATTGCTGGGCATGAAAAATCTAATACAGATATGATACAAGGATTGGCCTTTAGGTCCGGTCCGTTCCCTTGGATCTTATTTGGAGAATATTTTGCCATGATTACTTTGATATCCAGGTGAGCGAACAGGCCCTCTTGTTTTTTCTTAAAAAAGTACATGACAGATCTTTCTCAAATTTCATAAAAATTCATTTTAAGACTGATATCGGCCGCCAGACGACAATCTTGGATTTTGACAGATTTGTATGCCCCTGCCATAAAATTGGGGGGGGGAGCATATAGTGTTGCCCAAGGCCGTACTGTCTTGTCAAACATCAAACACATGGTGACAGGGGCATTCATTTCTAGTTTCACATTTCATTTGTTACGTGCCCCTTGGTCTGTAGTTAATTTTGGCACTGATTAGAGGTAGGATAGCTGCTGTTTATTGGACAAACAAGATGTCCGCTAGGCAGCCATCATCAATATTTGATACTTAAAGAATTTCATCGCTATTCCTTCAGAAATACCTGTTAACTTTGACAGTTGAAGTTGGTTTTACTATCTCTCAAGAAGATTTTGATACACATGATGCTACCAGGATTGGCTCCAGTAAATGGCCCAATCCCTTTTTGCCATACTATTTATGAGAATATTATGCCATGATTGCTTTAATATCCAGGCGAGCAGTACAAGCCCTTAGGGTCTCTTGTTGTACGTAGTATAAGACCATGCTTCTCCCTACAACAGGACTAAGAAGGCTGAGCAACCCTACCTGGATGACGAAGACGAGATGATTGATACAGACGAAGGAGCCTCAGTTTGGCTGGAAAGTATAGGGCTTGACAAAAAGCATTTCCCCTCCCTTGAACCCAACAAGGTAAAAATGTATCCTTTATCAGTGGCATATAACAATGGAGAAGTACATGATAAAACTCCTCCCTAAATGTAGGTGAACCTTATTTGTTTTAAACTACCGTGGGCCAAGGGAATTCATATTCATTAATCATTGTATAAATAAAGAGCATGTTCCCCTCCTAGGGACAGTCTGGAAGGTCCATAGGAAAAAGGGGGTTAAATATTACATTTGAATTCTTGTACTCAGTACAAGGTTCCTGAACTTGGCTGAAATGTTTACCAGCACGTGTGGTAATGTTAAACATCGTTGCCAAACTGAAAATAACAATAACATTGCTGGCTACGTACATTCCAGTGACAACATCATTCCAGCGACAGCATCAGTACACACAGATGCTATTTTGTCCTGCAGGTCTCTTTAGAGTCGAGCTTTGGGGTGACATGAATATCAAAGTCAACAGGAGTTGGAACTACTTTTTAAATATTTTGTTGCTGGAGTTTTGAACTTTACTCAACAAATAGGCAACAGCCCAAAAACTAAACCTCAATAACGTGTGTCCAGTGTTAGAGGCCTGACATCTTACAGCTTGTATGTATAATTCACTGTACTTATAGTTCTGAAGACAAAATGGGTTACTTTTACTTGGGAAATAACACATGTCATTTATAATGAACTAGTCTAGTAACAGCTACAATTAAGTATTTATAACCACAAGTTTTACACAGTGAGGGGAAGGATTAAAAGCTCAAGTCATTATTTATTGATTTTCAACTTTAAATCTACTTCCATGTTTCTGACACCGATATCTATATCTATGTCTGCATTCATATTTCTAACACAGGTTTCTTTCTCCAACCAACCTTCTTTTATTAATTTCCTGTCCTCGAGACCTGATGTCTTCCCTTTATAATAATAATAATTTGAGGTTCTTACATACCGCTTTATCGCAACCTAGTTTGTAGGTCGTCTCAAAGTGGTTCACAAATTATTATCTGTGGTTATAGGGCCTTTGTAACCAGCCAATATATTTCTTAACTCCCTTGGGAGCATACAGCCAGTGCTGTCATTTCAGCGCTCACCGCTAGCATTCTACAATTCTAGCACTGCCCAACCACATACTCATTACAGCTGAGTAGACTAGAACAAGCGGAGTAAAGTTTCTTGCTCAAGGATACAACACATGCCGTGACTGGAACCTGCAACCCTTGGGTCATGAGCCCGGCGTCCTACCACTAGACTACTGTGCCTCCACCTTTGTCTAATCTCTGAGTGTTCTATCTTCTTATCAGGTCTACATTAACTAAGAATGTATCTACAGTAATATGCTAACTAACTGACCACAGTTTCTATTGGTCAACTACATACTATGGGTGGAACTAAATTATCTTCATGAGATGGACAGTCCTATTTCTCCCATCCTTCAGAGGTGTCTTCCGTTTTAGCCAGGAAAGATCAGCTTGTCGCCCCCTAAGGGGAGATAGCCTCGTGCCGTTTAGCACGTGTTCAACTAAAATGCGTCATCGGTAATTTTGACGTCATCAAAAGTGAATGACGATATTAATACCCCACATGTGCTTTTGTTTACAAACAGACTACTGTCTGTGGAGTTGTGACTGAAATAATAGGATGGGAGAAAAATAATCATCCCCTACCTTGAGGGTGAATAGCTGTGATAAATCATTTCTGAAAAGAAAATCCTGCAGGATTTTTATGAAAATTATTGAAGAATGGAAACAAAACAAAAATAGAATCAACAACAGTGTTCAAAATGCAAAAAAGCAAAAAACAGCAGAACTAGACCAGGATTCGAACCCAGAGCTACAGATTGATATACTAACATCCAAATAAATTGAGCTACCTTGGCAACAGAAGACTTAGTGTTCTTGCCAACCTGTGATACAATTATATCCATTCTTAATGTCTTTATAAATATGACATGACTGGTTTTCCCAAATAGTTACTATTTATAGAGCATACTTGACAGGAATTTCATTACTATCTCAAGGACAGGACAAAATTTTGAAAATCTGGCAACATTGTTATCTTATTGCTTAAATGATACTTTAACAAGATTCTATTGAACAGATCTCAGTTAATAAATACTGTACGATATAGGCTCGCTAGCCTATGTGCAGGAGAGCCCAAAAATCTGTTGATGTCCTTAACACTTTATAGCCAGAGAGAAGGATTCAAGCTGATTGACAACAGACCAGAGTCCACAGTACATGTAATCGGCTCAGATGTCCAGGCACTGTATAATTATCTTCTCAACTGTCGCAGCTGTGTGGCCACATCAGGACCCCAGGCTGGCCTGCCTCCTACCATCCTCTCTCCAACAGCATTCAAGGGGGCCACTCTCAAATCTCACCAGGTCAGTAAAACAAAATTGATAAAATTGTACTGATCTTCACATCAAAGTAGGTTGGTCAGATAACACAGTGCACTATTGAATGACCACAAACAAAATCTGTGATTTACTAGAACTTATTATAGAAAGTTTTAAAGTTCATCAATCAATATTATCACAATTAACTATAATACTGTTATACAGGGTTTAACAAAGTCAGGACTTACTGAATACTGGGATTTAACAAAGGCAGGATTTACTGTAATACTGGGGTTAAACAAGGTCAGGATTTACTGTAATACAGAGGTTAAACAAAGTCAGGACTTACTGAATACTGGGATTTAACAAAGTCAGGGTTTACTGTTATCAAGGGGTTTAATAAAGCCAGAATTTACTCTGATACAGGGATTTAACAAAGTCAGGGTTTACTGTAATACGGAGGTTTAAAAAAGCCAGAATTACTCTGATACAGGGATTTAACAAAGTCCGGATTTACTGTTATCCAGGGGTTTAGCAAAGTCAGGATTAACTGTTATCCAGGGGTTTAGCAAAGTCAGGATTTACTGTTATACAGGGGTTTACTAAAGTCAGGATTTACTGTTATAGCAGGGTTTAACAAAGGCAGGATTTACGGTAATACAGGAATTTAACAATGTCAGGATTTACTGTAATACAGGGATTTAACAAAGTCAGGATTTACTGTAATACAGGGATTTAACCAAGTCAGGATTTACTGTAATAAAGAGATTAAACAAAGTCAGGATTTACTGTAATAAAGGGATTTAACAAAGACAGGATTTACTGTAATAAAGGGATTTAACAAAGTCAGGATTTACTGTAATACAGAGATTAAACAAAGTCAGGATTTACTGTAATAAAGGGATTTAACAAAGGCAGGATTTACTGTAATAAAGGGATTTAACAAAGTCAGGATTTACTGTAATACAGGGGTTAATTCAAATCATGATTTACTCTAATACAGAGATTTAATAAAGCCAGAATTTGCTATAATACAGGGATTTAACAAAGGCAGGATTTACTGTAATACAGGGATTTAACAAAGTCATGATTTACTGTTATACAGTGGTTTAACAAAGTCAGGGTTTACTGTAATACAGAGGTTTAATAAAGCCAGAATTACTCTAATACAGGAATTTAATGAAGTCAGGATTTACTGTTATACAGGGATTTTTTTTTTTTATAATTGTTTATTTTTCAAAGATTTTACATAAACAATTTTGACATAAATATGGCATATTCAAATACATTCAAAACAAACAAAAAACACATTGTTTTCAACTAAGCCATCATCATCATCAACATCATCATCAACAATTTTTTACATACCATTATTGCTATTAAATAAAACAACAGATACTGACATACACAAAATCTACACAGACATAGACAGGCAGAGAGATAGAGAGACGGACACACAGACAAACAGACAGACAGACAGACAGAAAGATAGAGATGTCAGACTTTCCGAGTAACAATGTTTAGGCAAGTTCAACTACTTTTATCCATTTTCGCCATTCATTAGTAAACTTATTGAGATATTTTTCCCCTTTACCATAAGCAATATTTTTCTGAACATTGTAATATTCTTTAATCAAATTTACCAGAGCCATAACATTAAGTGAGCTGTGCAAACATCTTGTTTTGTATATATAATGCTTAATAAAAAGAATAATTTTATTGTCAATTCTATTATAAATGCCTGCTTGCTCGATACATCCAAAAATAATATTTTCTTTATTTAATGAAAAGGGAATGGCAAGAGATTTTCAAAATTTGTCAAAAAGCTTTGTAATTCATATCAGTGCACTCCAATAGGATATGAATAATTGTCTCCCTTTCCATCAAGCATAAAACACACAGAGGGTTATTTATTAGTCCAATCTTAAATAAATATGAATTTGTTGTTAAAATGTAATGATTTATTCTAAATTGTAACCATTGTAACTTTCTGTTATTTGTTACCCTGAATGGAACAGCATATATTTTTTCCCATGTTTCCTTATTATAATCAAAAACAGTTCTGTCCTGTTACTGTGATATTATTTTGAATAAGAACTTTATAGAACTTCTGTGATCCTTTTTGGGTTTTTTAATATAACTTCAAGTTTAATGGTATGATTGGGTAACTCAACATCTTGTTGGGTACATTGTGATTCTTAATGTATTTCTTTATGCTCATTATCACTCCTTGATACTGAAGATAATTTGTTATTGAACCATGAATAGTACAAAATTCATTGAAAGAGAAAAAGGAACAAGTTCTAATATCTTTAGCTAAATCATTGACAATCACAATCCCATTATTGAACCAATTTCTATAGAAAAAGTCATTAGTACCAATAGTTATGTTTTTGTTATACCACATGGGTGTCTTAACTAAGGAATGATCCTCCTTCCTATACATTTCTACTTTACTGCTTAGTCTATACCATGCCTTAAAAACATCCTTCCAAAAAATGTTTTTACAATTAGTCCCAATAATCTTAATTAAATACTCACTATCACAATTAGCTAAGACAACTTGGTTTTTTAAAATCATATGCCATTTTCCCTCTGACCAAATATCTTTCTGATCCAACTGATTTTTAGAGATTCAATAAAACTCAATATGTTTACCATTTTTAGCCCCCATCTAAATAATTCTGAATAATTACCTCACGCTTAACTTTGTCATTTTTACCATTCCATAAAAAATTGAAAAGAATTGAGTTTAGCTGCTTTATGAAACTTTGATCTGGATTTGGTAAGGAGATAAAAAGATGATACAGGGATTTAACAAAGTCAGGATTTACTGTAATACATGGATTTAACAAAGTCAGGATTTATTGTAATACAGAGGTTAAACAAAGTCAGGATTTACCATAATACAGTGGTTAAACAAAGTCAGGATTTACTGTAATACAGGGATGAAGGTGTCACCATTAAGTTTTTGCGTTTAAGTTAGTTTCACTGAAACTATAAGTGCTACACCAACCAAACTTCATATTATTTCATATGTTGTCTATATTGAATTTATGTCACTGATATGTGCATTGATGGTCAAAGCTGGGCACAGGCGAGGCATATCAATCCGAATGGCTTGATTCTTTTAATGTTTAGAAATGTGGTTTTTTCTTTTACACAGACAAAACATTCCTTGGTAAAGCAGATGGATGACAACAAGCTCATAAAGCCAGTTCACATCTTGGAGATATGTGGACCTGTTTTGCCACACCACATAGCCAGCTACAAGTGGCTGTTCCAGCACACCCAGGAAGGACACTTCTCGCTCTCTTTCAACACACATGAACCTAGCATTTCATTCAACGCTCCTGTAGGCAGTGAGGACGACATAACCAAAGACGTGGCTATCCGGGAACAGTTTGTGATGGGACATAGAAAGTTTGATTCTTTCTTCAGCAACAAACCAGTGGATAGCAGATTGACTTGTATTAAGGATATTCAATGTAAACTAGGTTTCTTTTCCTTTTTGGTATGAAGCCTCATAAATTGGTACTCTTATATATTTATTTTTGAAGTTACACTATTTTTAGCTCACCTGGTCCGAAGGACCATGGTGAGCTTATGCCATACCGCAGCGTTCGTGGTCCGTCCGTCCGTCCACTTTTCCTTTAAAACGCTACTAGTCATGAACGACTGAGCAGAATTTGACCAAATTTGGTAAAAAGCATCCTTGGGGGAAGGGGAACAAATTTTGTATAAATGGTGGGTCTGGCCCCCCTGGGGGCTGAGGGGCGGGGCCCAATAGGGGAAATATAGCAAAGTCTTTAAAATCGTTCTTCTTCTGTAGGAATGAAAGGATTTGTTCCATATTTGGTCTGAAGCATTCTTGGGTGAAGGGGAACCAATTTTGTATAAACCGTAGGTCTGGCTCCCCTGGGGGCTGAGGGGCGGGGCCAAACAGGGGAAATATAACAAATTCTTTAAAATCCTATTTCTTCTGTAGGAATAAAACGATTTGTTCCATATTTGGTCGGAAGCATCCTTGGGAGAAGGGGAACCAATTTTGTATAAACCATGGGTGTGACCCTCCAGGGGCCTGAGGGGCGGGGCCAAATAGGGGAAATATAGCAAATTATTCTTTAATATTCTTCGTCTGTAGGAATGAAAGAATTTGGTCCATATTTGGTGTGGAGCATCCTTGGGTAAAGGAGAACCAATTTTGTATAAACGGTGGGTGTCGTTCCCTTGGGACCTGAGAGGCGGAGCCCAATACGGGAAATATAGGTAAAACCTTTATAATCCTTCTGTTACCATAGGGATTAAGGGATACCGTAAAAACCCATGTAATTTGCGCACCTGTGTAACTTGTGCAGGTACTTTTTGAGGCTGAAAATCGGGAAAAAAGCTTCTACTCGAATATTTTGCGCACCCAAAAAATCTGGGGAAAAAAAACGATGTTCATGCTCCGAAAATCGATTTCTTAATATATATTTTTTTTAAATATATTTCTATGATTTTTTTTTCATTGATGTAAAATGATATTTAAAACCAAGAAGAAACTACGTAAAATGTGTATTTTGTTGCTTGTTTTCTTTGAATTATCTGATCACACATGACACACACGTGTGCGCATATCGGCATACATCAATTCATTTTAGCAATATTTTACATAAAACATTTACTTGCTTACAAAAACATATCAATTAATAAGTAATTCGATGTTTAGTAACCGCTGGTGCATATCTCCTGGTGAAAGACATAATTAGATACCTTTTATTGATCATAATTACGATCAGTGAGAAGGGCTCATCATGGCGGCTTGGGTTACGTCACTTCAAACCAGGTCATGTCACAGTTCAGTTTGGCCACGGAATTAGATTATCTAAGTCCGTGGTTTGGCGATATTTTTTTACAAATTACAATGCAGTAATGAGCTAACACTATCTCTGTGATTACCCGTTAACAATAGCTCTACTAATTGAAATGATTTGCAGTCGCGATCGACGGACCGTGTTGTTGTTTTTTTCACTCGCCAACACGTGGCGTGAATTACGAAGCCCTACTGCATTGTCATAACTACAGACTGATTTGACTGATAAGGGATTATAAAAAATATGTTTATACTAGAAGCGTGGACAATCAATACATCCTCTTCAAATCTACTCCAAGGAAAAAAATAGTTAACGCAGACTATTTTTACGATGCTTCATTTAATAAATATTGAAATAATTCACGAGGTTATTATCAATCACGTGTTTACGTAATGTTAGACGCATGATCAAAATGAAAGTGAGCCGGAAAAAAACCATGCTATATGTATACGCATAGGCGATTTGAAAAAACCTTACAGAACTTACACGGAACGGAGCTTAAATTGAACAACTACATTTTCGTAATAGTATGGGGAAACGAACCGAGATCTCTAAACGTAATGTCGTAAGATGATCGGCGATTCTCTGGCATAGGAATTTGGCTGAACTTTTTCTGTTAACGGTTACCTATTTAATAATACTTTTCACATAAACTCACATAACAACACATTATGTATCTTTTATTAATGTTTGACATAAATAAATTTGTTGACCGTCATTTGTCTAAGAGTTCCGTGTACCAAGGGAAATAATCCAAGATGGCGATCTCCCAGAATCGCCGATCATTTCCTGAAAAAAACTTGAAATTTTCTATACCTGTGTATTTTACGCACCCCCCACTTTGGGTATTAAATTCCTGAAAAAAAAAGTGTGCAAATTACATGGGTTTTTACGGTATTATCCTAATTTAGTCTGGAGCATCCTTAGGCAAAAGGGACTCAATTTCGTATAAACGGTGTGTCTGACCCCTTTGGAGGCAGAGAGTAGGGGCCCAATAGGGGAAATAGAGGTAAAACCTTTAAAATCCTTCTTCTACCATAGAGATTAAGGGATTTTATCCTTATTTAGTCTGGAGCATCAATGGGCCAAGGGGACTCAATTTTGTATTTTAAACATATTCAGGTGAGCGATACAGGCTCTCTGGGCCTCTTGTTAAATTCATACTGTATAGTTCTGTTTAGATGAGGATGTTGGTCATAATTGGCCTGAAAAAGAACATACAGTTCTCCTTTGATTTAGTGTTGGTTAAGATTTTGAACATGGAGTTTTCTGAAAAAGTTATGACTAGACTAAAACGATAAAGAGTTCTGACTAGACTAATATGATAAAGAGTCATGACTAGACTAATATGATAAATAGTTATGACTAGACTAATATGATAAAGAGTTACGATTAGACTAATATGATAAAGAGTTATGACTAGACTAATATGATAAAGAGTTATGACTAGACTAATATGATGAAGAGTTAAGTTTATGGGTTCCGTCCGTCCGTCCTGCGTAAACTTTTTACATTTTCGACTTCTTCTCAAGAACCAGTAGATGGATTTTTTTCAAATTTGGTCAGAATCATCCTTGGTACATGAGGCTACAAAATTGTAAAATTTGGATACCTACCCCAACCCCTGGGGCCAGGGTGGGACCCCAAAGGGAAAATAAACCAATTTTTCAAAAATCTTCTTCTCCAGACTCAGAGGTACTACAGTCAATTTCTCTACATAGCTGGAAAGATCATCAGGGGCTTTATTTAAATTGTAAATTTCAGCATCCCCGGGCCAACCGTCTCTTGGGGAGCGGGTAAAGTTTACTATAGTTTATATAGGGAAATAATACTTGTGGGTATATTTTGTTCTTTTTCTGTAGGAAATTATTCCTTGGTGAGAATCATCCTTGGAGGAAGATTATATCAAATTGTAAAACTGGGATTCCTGCCCCAACCCGGGGGTCAGGGTGGGGCTCCAAAGGGAAAGTTAACCAATATTTCAAAAATCTTCCTCTCCAAACTCAAGAGGTACTACAGTGAATTGTACTGCATGAATGGAAAGACCATTAGTGGTTTTGTTTAAATTGTAAATTTCAGCACCCCCAGGCCATCCATTCTCCTTTGGGGAGGGATAAAATTTACTTTAAGTTTAGTTTATATAGGGAAATGACATTTTAGGGTATATTTTGTCCATTTTCAGCAGGGAATTATTCAAACTTGGTTGGAATGATTATGATGCCAGATGGCAATTAAATGGTATGAGAAAATAAGATCCTGACCCATCCCCAGGGGCTGGATGGGTGGGGCCCAAATGGGGATAATAGTTGAAAAAATCTTCTTCATCAGACTCAGATGTTTTTACTGTTCTTTGATAGAAAGGTCCTTACCTAAATTATAATTTCATTATCACCCAGGTCATCTGCTCTACCTTGGGGAGAGGGTATATTCTCAATAGCAAAATAATTTATTTGAATAGTTTTTAGCTCACCTGGCCCGAAGCTTATCCCATGCCACAGCGTCCGTCGTCTGTCAACTTTTCCCTTTAAAACGCTACTAGTCCTGAACGGCTCGGAGGATTTTGACCAAATTTGGTCTGGAGCATCATTGGCCAAAGGGTTCTCAGTTTTGTATGTTTAATTGATTGAATTTAAATGAGAAATAATGGACGCAGGCTGAAAGCCTCTAAGTCCATATCACAAAACATAGTATAAAAATATTATATTGTCACTGGTTAACATATATAAACTTTCCCAAAAGAGTTATTTTAAAAGTCATTATCAGTAATTATTGTAACTAGTGTCCTTCAGATGGTTATCCAACAGGATCTCAAAGTCCTTCGTGGTTTCTGCATTTACAACCGATTCCGGTAGACCGCTCCAGATATCAACTACCCTAAACGTGAACGAGTTTTTCCTTAGCTGTGTACCCCCTCATCGTTGTTTATACAGCTTAAATTTATGTCCTCGTGTTCTTTCGTTATTATCGTAGACAAATATGTCTGACGTGACTTTCTCATCAAACTTCCTCTTCACAATCTTGAAAACGTTAATCAAATCACCTCTAGTCCTTCGGTGTTTTAGTGTCGGTAGTTTTAATTTTTCTAAACGTTCTTCGTAGGAGATTTCTTTAAATCCAGGTAGAAGCTTAGTGGCTCTCCGTTGTACATTCTCTATCATCTGGATATCTTTAAGTTTATACGGACTCCACGCACTGGCTGCGTATTCTAGATGCGGTCTTACCAGAGCCTTAAATAACTGTCTAAAAATCGATTCGTCCAAAAAAGTAAATGATCTTCTAATAATCCCGAGTACTGAATTAGCTTTATTTATTGAGTTTTGAATGTGGGTCCGAAAGTCCAGGTTTGCATCCACCGTTACTCCTAAATCTTTTTCACTGTTGATTTTGTCAAGTACGACTTCTCCAGTTTTGCTCGCGAGACGGTATGTTCTATTATTGTTTGGTGATCCTTTAACCTGAAGAACCTTGCATTTATTCGGATGAAATTTCAGAAGCCAATCATCAGACCATTTTTGAAGATTATTCAAATCTGCTTGTAGAATTTCCTTATCCTCATCAGTTCTTATCTTGCGGTATAATTTAGTATCATCTGCGAATAGAGAGCACGATGACGCAGTGTTCTCGGGCATGTCATTGATATACATAACAAATAGTATTGGTCCTAAAACACTCCCCTGAGGAATTCCGCTTAAGACGTTCTGTAATTTGGATGTAGATCCGTTAACCACTACTTTTTGATGTCTATCACTT